CTCAATTTTCTCATCAGTAAGATGGGTATGTAACAGTACCTGCCTCATCTCTCTGGTGTTACAATATGATCATCAAGGTCACAGAAGCTCCTAGCGGAGTGTAGGGTAGACAGCAGTGGCCTGTCAGTCAGTATTAAACAGTTCTTGATTGTGGGTTGAATTTTAAGTGTCCTAAATCTCTAATACTGGGAATGGGACTGAATGTGGAAATGGGGTTAAGATGATGTCACACAGGATTAGTGTGGTCTTATTCTAGGTGCCCTCAGAGGAGGGAAATTTGGTCCCAAACACAGACATATAGAGAGCACTGTACGGAGATGGAGACAGAAATTGGAGCGACATCCCAGGGACTCTATCAGCCCGGGGACACTGAAGGAGAAGAGGTGTGGAATAGATCAGCCCCAGAGGCGCAAAAAGGTGTGACCCTGTCAACACCTGGCCGCAGGACTGGCAGCCACAGAAGGTGACAGTATCTCCTGCTCCTGCTGATTTACTGTGGCAGCCCCAGGGGATCCGCGGCCTGCTGTGTGAAGAAAGCAGCCCAGCTGAGCAAGTCTCCAGGTCCTAGCTATCAAGTGCTGGGTACACGGTTCTGCATATGAAGTCCTGGATACAAGTGCTGGGTACAAGGTACTGGATATGAGGTGCTGAGTACAAAGTACTGGGTACAAGGTGCTGGATATGAGGTGCTGAATACAAGGTGCTGGGTATGAGGTGTTCAGTACTCGGTGGTTCTCAGAAAGATCCCCTCCCTTCATTTCCTGGTGCTGACCCTCTGCCCCTGAACTTCTCTGTCCCTACCTCAAATACTTGCTGCACCCACCCTCCTCCCGGGCTCTGCTAGCCAGTCCGGTCCTGGCTGGAGGGAGGCTGGGCCAGGGCTGTTGGCCAGAGCTGCTTCTCCTGGCTGGGGGCCAAGACCTGCAACACCTCATTACCGGGCAGAATGTAACACAATTTCACCCTTGGACGGCGCTGAAAGCCAGGCCTCTGCTGGCCGAAAGATGGGCCGGAAGCCGCTCTGGGGGGCCGCCCTGTCCCCTCCTGGGCTGGCAAGTCTCTGAAGCACCCGAGCTGCTGGCACACAGTGAACTCCACAGCTGAAGGGAGCAGATAACCCTTGCCAGCGTGCTGGTCTGCGGGTGTCCTGGAGCAAACAGCAGGAAATGAATGGGTCTTTCCTCAGGCTGTTCCCCCCCCCCTCCGCCGCTGCCCCATGCATGCTCGCACGCTCCACCTCCGCCCGCCGCCTCCCCTTCCTGGGCTTTCTTCTCTTCCTCCCTTTGTTTCCTGTTTTCAATAAACATGATTCATGCCAAACCGGCTGGCCCTGTCACTGCCCAAGGCCAGCTGTATTTCTCAGCAGTGAACCCAGGTCACTGCAAAAGTTATGTCCCTGAGGTGGACCCAGGAATCTGGGCCCCTCAGGAAATGGTACACAGGTAGAAGGGATTTGGGCAGCCCAGGCAGGTGGCCTGGCGCCACGTCCATGAGGTGCCACTGAGTGGTAGGTATCATGGGAGCCTCAGAGAAGCAACTATGGCGAGAGCCTTTTAGGTCACCCCTCGAAGAACACTGGCAACAGCTCGCTCCTAGGCAGGCTTGTCAGAGCAGGGGCGCAATTGAGTGCTTCAAACACGAGGAGGAGTCGCTTCCCTCTCGTGGTGTCTGGGAGTCCAAGCCCCAGCTGTCACAGGGCCTTGCAGTCTGAAGGAAAACCCTTTCTGGGCCCTTCTGGCTTCTGGTTGGGGGGCACTCACTCCTGGTGCTCCTCCTGGTCTCTGCCTTGGCCCTTGAATGGCCTTCACCCCTGTACGTCTTGGTCTTCACCAAGTCTGACCCTCCTGGCTCTCTCTCCTCTTCTAAGGACACTGATCCCATTAGGCTAAGGCCACCCTAGGGCATCGTGACCTCCTTTTCACCAATTACATCTGTGACAATTCTATTCTAAATAATGTCCCATTCGTAGGCACTAGGGTCTAGGATCTCCCCCCCCCCTCTCTCCCACACACACGAGGGCACATGTGTGTATGTGAGGGTAGGGAGTGGGGGAGGTGAGAGGTCTTCCTTAATCACTGTATCACTGTACACCTTTTTTTTTTTTTTTTTTTTTTCCCCAAGACAGGGTTTCTCTGTGTAGCTTTGGAGCCTGTCCTGGAACTCACTCTGTAGACCAGACTAACCTTAAACTGACAGAGATCCTCCTGCCTCTGCCTCCTGAGTGCTGGGTTCAAACGTGTGCACCACCACACCGGGCTTGTACACCTTAGTTTTGAGACAGGGTCTCTCACTGAACCTAGAGCTCACTTACCAGGTGACTGGCTGCCCAATAAGCCCCAGGGGTCCTCCAGTCTCCATCTCCCAACACTAGGATTACAGCCCTACCAACTTACCTCACCATGGTGACTTGGGGTGCATTATCTTAGCCTCCAACACTTTCCAAGACTCCTGATAGCCCAACCTATAATCTCTGCTCACTGCCCAAGTTATAGCTCCTGTCTGGCCACCCTGGGAATTCACAGTCCTCTAAGGGGGCAGGCTTCCCTTCTTGGGTCACTGAATGCTGTTCCTTCCTCCAGATGCCTGTCCTATGGCTCCCTGTTCACTTGTCCTACGTGACTGTCCAGGAGGTGAAAGACCCCTCCACCGTCAGGATGAAGCTTAATTGTCTCTTTGCCATGGTCTTCACTGACTCCTGTCTAAGCTTGCTAAGCGCCCTGTGCTTATCTAGGTCGCCACTTACCAACCACTCCTCGGTTTGACCCCTTCCCACTCCCGCCAGGCCGTGAGCTTAAGCTGGAGTGATTGGGATCTGTGTCTGCATCTCCAGCATGGACACACAAGCACTCAGTGAGAACATGGTTGAATGAAGGAAGTTTTTACTGAGCACTTACCGTGTTGTGCTGACAGGCACTGTTCTGAGACCTCATACATCTCCAATAAGCCTATAAGGCAGGTGCTGGTGTTCATCCCCTTTTCCAGATCTGGAACTGAACTTGGGCTACGGGTCTGATGATTGACAAGCAGGAGAGGCTGAGACTCAAATCAGGCAGTGTGAATAATCCCTTAAAGGGCCGTGCAGTTGAACAGCAAGGCACAGTACCGTCCTAGCCTCCAGGAGCTGGTGGTACCCAGGGTCCAAGGAGCCAACAGACTCTAGCAGTGGTTCTCAACCAGTGGGTTGTGACCCCTTTGTGGGTTGCATATCAGCTATCCTGCACAGCAGATATTTACATTGCAATTCATAACAGTAGCAAAATTATAGTTGTGAAGTAGCATTGAAATAATTTTATGGTTGGAGGTCACCACAACGTGAAGAACTGTATTAAAGGGTCACAGCATTAGGAAGGTTGAGAACCACTGTGGCTGCCAGGGACGGAAATGTGTGGTGGATAAGGATAAGTCCCCTGCCTCTCCCTGTGGGATTCTGTCAGAGCCATGCCCACAGAGGACGGAGCCTGGGTTCTAACACTGGTTCTGTGGCCCACCAGCCATGTGTTGAGGGCATCACTCTGGGTCCGCCTCTCAGTGAAGCTCACAGTGGGCAGTAATCCAGCTTATCATGGCCAGGAGTGGAGAAACTGACCTTGGAGACAGTACACCTGGCTTTGATTGTAACACAGCTACGTATTGGCTGTTCAGCCTTGGTCCAGTAACTTGAACTCTCTGGGCCCTCTTCTTCCTGTGTATATGATGGGGAGGAAGAGAAGGAGGCTGTGCTGGGTAAATAGGGAATAAGTCCAGAAAGCCAGCAGGCTGTGGCGGCCATTATGTCTCCCGTCTCCTCCTCCCAAGGTGTCCGATACACCCCCCATACTGTGATGTGCACAGCTTTTATCTCCTCTGCATTTAACTCACTCACTTAAATTTTAACAATTTTGTCTAAGAAATGAAAGAAAACACAGATAAAAAGCCATTTAGAATCATGGCTCCATAATCCAGGAATTCTCCTTCCCAGGCAAGCTGTTCAGTAGCTATTAGTGGGCGGGAGAACCTGGTGGGTAAATGCAGCCTGCAAACTCCCAGAGGGAGGGGGGAAGCCCAGCCCCTCAAGACTGCCAGCCTCTCACTCAGAAATGTCTTCATGTGTCACCACTTGGGAATGAAACACCTCCCGGCCTTCTGGGCTCCTGGGCAGACATCTAGGGGGGTAATGGGGAGATGAGAGCCCACTTGGGAGCCAGGCAGAATGGCCATCAGGTCATCTCTGTGTACCGGCATGACCAGGGACCGGCAGTTAATCAAGGTCACTCACTCAGTGTCCCTTGGGACAGCTGAGCTTCTGGCTGCACTCCAGCTCTCTGAACTGGTTGGCTATGTGACTCCAGGTGGGACCCATAGGCCTCTTAGAGCCTTAGTTTCCTGAACTATAAAATGAGTGGCAGCCCTCTCTACAGTGTGAGGGAAGAGAAAGCTCCCGCTGGGCAGCGCCATCTCTGCAACGAGAGAGAGATCCACAGACGCATCAGAGCTGCCTGAACGTTCTGCTGTGGGAAAGCGGAGGGCAAGCCGAGGCAGAAGCCAGGCTCTGCGTGGAGACAGCATGCCCTAGAAACTGGGTCTTGGCAGAGAAGGAAGTGGGTCCCTGGACTGGAGGGAGGCCAAGGAACAGCCATGCTTCTGAAAGGCCTGTGGATGGTTTCCATGATGTGAAGGTCTCACCTAGGGCTCAGTGTACACTGTGCCTCCATCCTCATTCTCTGTTCTTGGAGTCCAGTATGGGACCCATGGGGGCCTGCACACAGTAGGTGCCCCATACATATTTTCTGGGGGCTTAGGGGAGCAGGATCTGTGCTTTAGGGCCCCAAGGCATCTGGTGGCTGAACACACAGTAGGGGCACAGTAATGTGGCAGGAATGGACTTCTCCCACCCTTTTCTCCAGCGGGACTGAGCACATGAAGGGGAGAAGAGAGGCAGCCTCTTCCTGTCCTTGAACTCAGCCTGATGAGAAGCATGAGTACAGTCCTGGTCTGACTACCCCACCCTCGGGGTTTGTTGTCTGACTAAAGTTAATGCCTCACTCACCTGCTTGTTAGCTTCCTGTCGATGGCCATGGGTCTGCTGTAGCTTCCTGCCTCCCTCTTCTCACTATCTGTCACCTTGGGAAGGAGCAAGCCCACCAGGCTGTGCACTCGGTTATACAGGGATGCCAGAGGACTACGTTGGATGTGTTCCTAGGAGCTGTCCACCTTCTTTTTGGAGAAAAGGTCTCTTATTGGACCTGGGGCTCATCAATTAGGCTAGGCTGACTGGCCAACAAGCTTCAGGAGTCCACCTGTCTCCACTTCCCCCACCTTTGAATTACAAGCGAGCACCACCACACTTTTTACGTAGGTGCCGGGGATGGGACTCACGTCCTCACGCTTGAGTGGCAAGCACTTTACCAACTCAGCTATCTATCCAGCCCTCGCATTTTTAACAAACGCCTACAAGTTGCTGGTGCTTCTGCTCCATGGACTGCACTTTGAGAAACAAGGTCCGGAGTAGAGGAAGAGACTGCCTCAGAACACCAGGCTGGCGTATTTTAAGATACTGCACGTAGAGAGTTCCATGTTAATGTCAGTGTTTGCAAGCCTTTCCCAGATGGAACTTCCAGAGTCCCTGGCACAGTCTCTCCCTGTGAACCCTGAGCAGGGAATGCAGGGGGCCGTCTGGAGCACACCACCCAAGCACAGTCCCCAAGGGCCCCAGATGCCTCTGCAGGCAGGAACCCAGCACAGCCGCCACTGCTTGCTGCCTTCATCTCCATTCTGGTCTTTCGATTTGCTGCTTGTAAAGCCAGTCTCCAGGCTGGAAATCGACATCTCGCTTTCTCCTGGTGCTTTCCCAAATCCCACCGTCACTCTGCCTAGGATTCCTCCCGCTCAAGTTGCCTATAGGGTATGTCAGTCAATCCATGCACTTACTGAGCACCAACTGTGTGCAAGCGGATGATAATCTGCCCCAGCAACAGCTGCAGTATGGAGAGACTGGTTCTCCACACCCACAGGTAAAGCTCTTCCCATGTTCCCCCCAGACAGGTTTAATCACTATGGGCTTCATCTCTGCCATACCAAACTTATGATTCTAAGCACTCTTTCTCAGCTCTGGGTGTTCAAAATTTTATGATGATACCACCATGCTGTGGTGTCAATGCCGTCCTCCAGGGATGGCAGACACTCCCTGTGGGGGACCCTCAAGATGGAAGTGCTCCATCTATGCAGCTATGGGGAAATGTCATCCATGCTGGGTGAGACTTTTTGGAGATGAGCTTGGTTTGGAATCTCCCACGATTATAAGTAATCTCTCACCTGAGCTTCTATAAGTCAGCCCACTAAGCTCACTGGTTCACCAGCCTAGACTTGGATGGAGTCATCTCTCTGGTCTGCTGTCACTGGTGCTCTCTCTGGAGTGAACTGACATTTGCTCATGTCTCCCCAGGGAAAGTTGACACAAGAAACGGGATTTCAAGTCTATTTAATCAGACTCTTCCGGTTCTAAGTGACAAAAACCCTGCTCTGCCTGGCCAGAGAAAAGCTCAAAAGCGAGCGGAGACTCTCGGCATCGCTTGATCCAGCACCTCGAACTGCGTCTCTCTGTGCCCCGCCCCCTGCCCCCAGTTCGTGGTACCTTTAGTCCTATGGTGAGATAGTTGCCAGTAAGGAAAAGTCTGCGTCCCCTGGGTCACATGAGGGTCTCCTGCCAAGCAAAGTGACAAACACATTAAGATTGATTACTGAACCGGATCTGCCACCAGGCCATCATGGCCACAAACCAAACACAGTGGCCAAGGGGATAACGGACTACTCTGATTGGCTTAACCCGACTCCCAAGTGCTTGTCTCCATCCAAGCCAAACGGCTGGAAGGGAAAAGGCGATTTAGAAATCCAGCGAAAGGGGTGGTCGTCATTTGCTATCAAAAGTGGATGGACATGGGGCTGGCGAGATGGCTCCGTGGTTCAGAGTACTTGCTGTTCTTCCAGAGGACCCCTAGGTTCAGTTCCCAGAATCCGTATCAGAAGGGTCACAGCTACCTACTATTCAAGTTCCTGGAGATTCAACTTCTCTGCCTTTTCTGGGCACCTGGATTCGTGTACACAAACCCACACAGAAACATACACAAACACATAATTAAAAATAAAAATAAATGTTTTTCAAACAGAGGGTGAACAGATATAGGAAGGTAAAAATAAAATCCCCACACAGTTTTTCAGGCTGTGCTGAGCAATGACACTATGAAAACCTCACGCAAAGCTTTTTTTAACTTTCAGATTTCGTGTGTGTGTGTGTGTGTGTGTGTGTGTGTGTGCATGCACACACGAGTGCACATGCACACACAGTTCATATGAGGAGGTCATAGGACAACTTGTGAGGCTCAGTTCTTTCTTTCACATGTGGGTCCCAGAAATAGAACTCAGATCTCTGAGCTTGGCAGCAAGTGCCTTTACCTGCTAAGTCATCTTATCAGCCCAACTCAAAGGTCCTCAAAACTCCCCACATTTGGACAGCAGATGGTGCCAGAAGACAGTATGGTAAAGGCACAGGGTCCCAGCTCTCTGCCTGATCAGAGTTGAGCTAGCCAGGTACCCCTGCGCCCTCCCTCAAGGCCACACTGCTCAGGTTAGGGCATTCTTTTTCCAGAGCTCTGCTGTGCTGATTTGCAGCCAGCCCGGGTTAGCTTCCAATGGAGAAAGCGAGAATGAGCCAAAGACTCTGTAGGTAGCAGCTCTAAGGGGAAAAAATGGGGAACTCATCTAGTGGCTTTGGAGGAACATCTAGTTATCAGTTCTGTCTATAAATGGGAAGAGAGGCACAGATGTAGCATAAAAGATTGCATTCCTGGTCTAAATTCTTGGGTCTCCTGAACTGATATTTTACATTTACACCCTTGTCAAGGCCACAGCTGGAGTCTACCCTATCTTGGGCAGAGCTAGAGTTACAAGTGGTTGTGAGCTGCTAGGTATGGGCACCGGGAGCTTAACTTGAGTCTCAGCAACTCCAGCAGGTGCTCTTAACCTCTGAGCATCTCTCTAGCCCCTAGACTGGGACATATCTATGGGTCACAATTGGCCTGTTGTTTTCCCCTAGCTTAGCAAGAAGAAGAACACAGTCAGAGTAGCCTTGAACCCTTCCAGGAGCCCCAGAGCAGAGGTGGCTTCACTCATGGCCCACAGCAGAGCTCCTGACCAGTCTTCGAGCTGTGAGCCAAACAGAAACCTCCTGCTGGATGACTGAAGTAGCTCAAACACAGCACTGCCGCGGCACTCACATCTCAGCGGGAACTGGAGACTCTGATGTGACCCAGGCCAGCACTGCACCAGGGTTTAGGGGCCTTGCAGGATGAGGCAGCAGAGGTCCAGGTCTGCAGTACCCCACAAATGCATGCAATCACAGGACAGTCACACCATCAGAGAAATGTCCATTGTCTCATCTCTGAAATGAGGACAGCGGTGCCTGTCTAACCTGACTGCGGGAGCCTGATGGACCCATAGCTCCAGGATTTGCTACCGAGGTCCTCCTCAACCTTACTGCAGCCCTTGCCTGGGAAGTGGGTCCCCCTCAACCATGCTGGAGCCCTTGCCTGGGAAGTGGGTCCCCCTCAACCATGCTGGAGCCCTTGTCTGGGAAGTGGGTCCCCCTCAACCATGCTGGAGCCCCTGTCTGGGAAGTGGGTCCCCCTCAACCATGCTGGAGCCCTTGCCTGGGAAGTGGCCCCCTTCAGAGATTAGGAGCCTTCACACTTAGTCAACAACCTCCATATAGAACACACAAGTCAGGCTGGGATAAGTGCAGAAATAGATGTGTGAATTTGTTCTGGGAACCGGGAGGGGGTGGGGTGGCACTCTGGAGAGAAAAGGTGTGGGGAGGATGGGGGTAGTTTCTCTGATGACAAGATGAGCTGGCCCTGGAATGGATGAGGAAAGCGAAGAGCATTTCAGGTGGGGGGGGGCAGGAATGTGAGCCTGGCCAGGGCACACAGGAGCCTGATCAGCATATATTAGGACAGGGGCCCAGCAGGAGCTGCAAAAGCCAAGTCAGTGGCAGGTTATAGGGCTAGAGGGAGGTCATGGAGGAAGAGAGGGTCCTGGAGGGCCAGCCAGTGTGGGGCATGGAGCTCCTGGAACATGGACCCTCTCACCATTAAGGGGGCAGGGGGAGGGGAATTCACCTGGCTCTCCCAGCTCCTCATACCAGGCCCAGATCCAGAACAAGCCTTGGGTTCCGGGTTCTGTAGGCCCCCTGGGACCTGCAAGGTAAGCAGTCTTGGCAGGTGGGCGGACCCTAGGGAGCTGGTGCAGCTAAGTGGGAAGGAGTGTAGTTTAAATGAATGACACAGTGGGAAGGGCGGGCTGCCAGTATAAAGGGTGACTGGGAGAGCAGGCAGGCGGCAGGTGGTGGTGGTGGTGGTGGTGGTGGTGGTGGTGAAGGAGAGCTCCTCTGAGTCACTGGAAGCAAGGGGCTGGCTCACCCCTAGAGGAGCCCACGGACCCCATCCTGCTCATACTTCTGGGTATGTGGTTGCTGTATGAAAGGCATGGGCCTGGGAACCAATCAGACCTGGATTCAAATCCTGCGTTCCAGTAGTTAGGCCATTTATTTGCTGTGTGACCTTGGACTGATGACTCAGTCTCATCATTAACTCTTTTTGTTTTGTTGATGGTGGTAATGGTTGTTTATCTTTTGAGACAAGGTCGAATGTAGCCCAGACTGGTCTAAAACTTGCTGTGTAGCCATGGCTTGAACCTCTGATCTTCCCACCTCTATTACCCAATTCCTGTGATTAACAGGTCCCCATGTCTGGCTCTGTTACCTTCTATAAAACCTTCTGGGGTTGTTAAGGTTAAAAATAATGCTAGCCAACATTTCCTCACCTTATTTCTATCTCCCATATCCCTTGCTTCCTCTGCACAGCCTCAGTCAGCAGGCACCACTATAAGCCCACTTTACAGATGGGAAAATCAATGCATAGAGTGGTTTAGTGACTTTCCCAAAGTCACACAGTGACTTGTCAGTCACTGGGAGGACTGAGATTTGAACCCAAGTCATCTGACTCCAGGACTTGTGTGCTGAACCTGCACACCCTCCATGAGATGATGTGGGCAACTTATGTATCACAATCTGTCTGCTGTGGCCTTGTTATCTAAACCCCACTAAACAAACAAACACTGAGAACAAGCAGCTGTCTGTGAGACAGGCGCCGAGGAGGTAGCCCAGCATCTGTGAGACAGGAACGACATTGCCTGGGGTCTGCCATGCACCGAACGCACAGCACAGGTCGTCTCACTTGACTTTAGCAATCGCTTGTGTGTTTGTTGTTTATTTATTTGTTTGTTTGTTTGTTTTGGTGTTTTCGAGACAGGGTTTCTCTGTGTAGCCCTGGCTGTCCTGGAACTCACTCTGTAGACCAGGCTGTCCTTGAACTCACAGACATCCGTCTGCCTCTGCTTCCTCAGTGCTGGAATTAAAGGTGTGCACCACCGCCTGGCATGTTTGTTATTTTAAAAGACATTATCTCAATACATAGTCCAAGCTGGCCTAGAACTTAAAATCCTCCTGCCTCAGCCTCCTGAGTGCTGGCATCACAGTCATGGCTGCCATGCCCAGCTATAGCCGCTTCATGAGGCAGCTGGAAGGTGAGTTCAGAGACGCGACACAGACAACATACTCCAGCCAGCAGTGCAGACATTAAAGCACCCAAGTTCACCTAGCACAGAGCACTACGTCCCAAAGTAGAAACAACAGTCACAGAATCTCCAGGAATAGAAGTCCTCTGTGCCTGGGTCCCTCTGGAATAGCCTGGTCTGACTCTACTTCTGTTTCTCTGGTTTTGCATCTGATACACTTCTTTGACCCTGGGCAGGGAGAGGATTTAAGCTGGGGCTCAGAGACTCACAGTCTAGGGTGGGTGATGAGATCAGCTCAGCTTCAAGGGAGACACATCCTCCCAACAACCCACCTGAGACCAAGAGTGTGGATCACCAGCTCTGCCCTTCCTGCCTCACAGGGCTGAGGTGCTTGGGAGAGCAGAGGCCCAGGGGCTGGGTTTGAACTCGCTGGGCCTTACAAATCTTGACTTCTACATTTTTCCTGTCTATAGAAGGGAAATAACTATCCCCCTCGGTGTTGGGAAGATGAAGGAAGATGGTGGTGAATTACTGGGACCAGTGTAAAAGGAAGAGTAAAGGATGAGGTCAGGGAGTGTGGGAGTTTGGGAAGAGATGAAAAAGAAGAGGAGAAAGAGGAAGAGAGGCAGGGAGAGACGAGAAGGGGGAGGCCATCAAGCCGATCCTCAGGCACAGCTGTGCCCAAGGCTGCTCCTCCACGTACATATTAAGGCTACTCACACATTCCTTCTGCATCCTGCTGACACATCTGCCAGATGTGGCTCGTGTTGCCAACAAGAGCAGCTGTCCCCTGACGTGCCCAGCTGCAAAATGAGGACCTGGAGATGGCAGGAAGGACACAGAGAAATGGCCAGAAGAACAGCAGTGCCGGGAAGTAACTGAAGTCGTGGGATCCCCTGCCCGGGCCTCAGTCTTGCTGCTTGCTGGAAGAGGCAAGATGACCTGATGATCCGGGCCAGAGGATGCCAGGGCTGTGGTGTGTCTGCAGCCTCTAGTCCTGCCCCCTGGATCTTGTCCTAGGAAGACTAGGTGTGACTCTCCCTCCTTGGGGCTGGTCCCTGTAGTTTCCTGAGG